TGCCCCACACACCGGGTGAGGGAGTGCAGGCTGACAGATCTGGAGTGAGGGGCACTGGGCCGGGACTGGCCATTGATGTTTACAAAGAATCACTGCATTAAACAGTATCCCTGGGAGTGGCAGAGGTGCAGTGTGTTTGGGTTCAAAGGAAAAGTAATTTTCATTTCCTCACCAGAAGAGAAGAGGGGGCAAGAATGTTTCTGAATACCTGGTGATCTTTAAGAGTATTTTTCTGAATATCATTTCTCTCAGTTCCTTCCTTTATCAAGCTCTGCAGGCTGTGTCTTTCTTAAGGAAGTTCTGCTGTGCAACTAGATTAGTCTTTTCTCCAATTCTGGGGTTCTTATAATTTATTTAACAATTCCTTATGGCTCCCTATGCTTGCTTGTGTACAGAAAATTAGTTCAACCAGAGAATATTCATGTTCTGGATGAAAGTCACTGCCATTTCTAAGCCTTTGTTGTAGGCTTACCTAATACTTTTGTTTTCTGTTGGTCCTAGCAATAGTCTACATCATGGTCTACATTCTCTCCCTCGTATTAGGTAGAATTTTACTCCGCAAACAGTCCCAAATCAGTGGAGTAAGAAAAACCTTGACAGAATCTGGTACCATAGATTCATGGATGTTAGGGGCTAGAAGGGACCTTACAAGATCCAGCCCTGCTGCGCTTGCTGTATCTTTAAAACATCAGAAGGTTCTAGATGGGAAAAAAAACATTTAATGTGTGCCACTGATAATGCTAAAATATGTTATCATCGGCTGTAAAAAAGACAGATATTTCCATATCTGCTGTTCAACCCTGTACGATGCACTGGGCCAGTGAGTGAGAATAACTGACTCAGTAGCCTCAGTAGCCCACACCTAGGAGGGCAGTGTGCGTGGGTTCTCATCTCTGTTCCAGTGAATATTTAAATACATTTATAGTGTTGGAGTGATGTTGTAGCTGTGATGGTCCAGGAATTACCGTATTTACTTGAATCCAAGACAAGGTTTTTCTTTTTCCTCCTTTAACATGGGTCATAGGGAGCCTTGTCTTGGATTCAAGTACGGGGCAGTGGGGGGACAGGCAATGACTCTGGTTCCAGTTCGAGTCCCAGCCCTGGTCCCAACCCTGGGTAAGGACCAGTGCCACACCTGATGCCTCTGCCCCCCATCTCCCTCTGACAGCCCCAGAGCTGCTGCCACTGCTCCTGGGCTGGGCTGGGCTGGGCCCAGAGCAGTCAAGGGTTCTGCACCCCAGGCTGCTCCTGCAACAAGGGGAGGAAGAGGGGGAGAGCAAAGAAGGGGGCATTTGGAGGATTGAGGCTGTGTGGGTGGGGGGGAGCAAGTGGGGGCGGGCAGGTACCAGGGGACAAGGAGCAAGAGTCAAGCTACTTGATTTCCCCCACCTACCCCCCACTGCTTTCCCCACTACAGCAGTGCCTGGGACAAATTTAAGACAACCCTCCAAAAATTAGACTCCACGGGGAGAAAAAAGGAGTTTTTGGGGTAGGAACTTTCATTGGACCACTGTGAATATATATAACACTCTACCTCTAACAACCTGTCAAGTGACCTCTGTGGTTCACTTGGTATTTATATATACAGAAATAATTTTTTTTGAAAAAAAAAAGCATAGTTTGTACTATACATAAGAGGGAACACAAGTGCTGTTTAAAAGTGTGTTTATGGAGTACCTGTGCAGCAGTTTCAGAAAGGTAATATGCATCAATTCTGGTTGAGCTAAGTCTACTGGTACCTATAGAATATGCACATTGCTACAGGCATGTTTATTTCAAGGTTGGTGTTTTCAAAATTGCCCCTCACTTCCATGTGCTCGAGGAGAGCAGGGCCTGTGTAACGGAGCCAGAGGCTTCTGTTTACTATAAGGGAGAAGCAGTGGCTGAGAGCTCCCCAGGTGGGGGAAGCATTGCCCATTATGAGCTGGCTGCAGGGGAGTTGGGCAGCCAGGGACTCATAGCTTACAAGTGCCTATTGTTAGGCTAGAGGCCCAGCAATAGGACAGTTGGGCAGAGTCCTGCTTGGTCAGCTAGTGCACAGTTAAACTAGCAAGGGTAGCAGCCATAGGCTGCCCTGGAAGCTAGCCATCAGATCCAAAGTGGAGACCTCTGTAGGTGGCTGGGGAGACACTTGACCAGAAGGGGCAGGGCTTAGGAGGCATATAAACCCAGGAACTGAGCCAGAGCAGGGAAACTGGCCCTGCATGCAGCAGGGAGAGGAGTGCCTGAGCAGGATGGCTACAGGAGGCAAATAAGAGGCTTATAGCTTGCAGGGAGTAGGACCCAGAGTGGGGGCATTTTAGTTACAGCCAGTGGCCTTATGTTTTTGTTTAAGCTTCAGACCAGTGGACCGGATGTGGCTAAAACGGGTGATGAAGAGGAGCCACAGGTGCCTGAGGGCACACTAAAGTTGAAGTCACAGTGGGGTGCCTGAGGGGTATATGCAGTTTTGGAGCCCTGCCAGGGGCTGGGGCTTAAGATCAGGCAGGCAGAAAGAGGGACACAGCCAGGGCCAGGGGCCCAAAACCTCAAGAGGGGCGACAGGGGCTGGAGCCTGGAAACCAGGTCCAATGCAGTGGACCTTGGCTGAAAGCAGCTCAGCCAGATAAAAGGGGTCCGGAGCTGGGAAGGCAGAAGCTCCAGCAAGGGCATGGGGACCTGAAGAAGCCTGAAGTGATAACTGGTAATATCTACAAGGCATGGGTATGGCTGCAGGGTCAGAAGGAGGCTGCAAATAGCTCTTAGGGCAACAGGTATCTTGGGTCATGATCAGGCCAGGAGGGCCCACTTAGCACTTGAGGGGCAGGACCAGCTGGCTGGTGGATGCATGAGTGCTCACTCAGGGACCCTAAGCAGCCTCTCTTTTAAAAATCAACTAAGTACATCAAAGCATAGCAGATGAGATAAGAAGGAGGTTACCCAGGAAGCTTGAGTGGGGCAGGAGCTGCATAGCCACCAGGGGGCAGCACGGCAGCTCCCGAGGGCTTGAACCTGCTACAGCCTGACAGTAAAGAGGGGGCAGGGAATAGGCTGCAGAAGGAAGAAGTTTGGGGGGGCAAGGGGGCCATCTCATCCCCTAG